TAAGTAGCAGAAGGGCAGGTTGATGGCGACATTTTAGCCATCTTTCAAAGCATCGTTATCCTTGTGAAAGTCATGGTTTCCTCTTGGCTGCAGGCAGCTGCCGCAGACCCAAATGTCTGTTCACCTTCAACATTTGTCAACCTGTTCATTACAGTGGTGAATTTGACACATCAGAAATGTCCTTTTGACAGGAAAGTTTATACGGGAATGAAAACTGAAGCAAAAGAAAGAAAAACCAAAGAAAGATGAAAGCGTAATTTATATTCCTGGATTTGTAATAGTAGTCTTGTCTTAAAGGCAGGATATATGTCACCTCTTTAGGAACAGGGAGATGCAAGCTTTCATGAGCCTCAGGGCTCGAATAGGCCTGATCAGGTGCATGGAGCCTTGCTCATTTCACAACTCAGTGGGGCCTCCAGACACAGAGTCGCTGTCACTCCGGACACTGGATACAGGATGAGTCCCCATATATTGTATCAAGCAAGACTGTAAACTTAAAGAGACTGTAGGCTTTTTGTGTTTGTTCACTGCAAATACAGGGGTTAATCTATAACCCAGTTTATGCTTAATCTTTTCAAATTTAATGTCTGGCACCTCTTAGTTTTGAATGCATTTCAAATTCAAATTTAGAAACTGGTAAGAACAGAAGAACTCTTTGAATAAAGGCTCACAACTGGAAAATAAAGCTAATTTGTTGGGAGGTTTTTTGCCCCCACTGAATCTTCACAAAACCACAAAAAGAAAAAAGAAAAAATCCTGGAACAAAAGCTCAAATGTAAATGCTTTTGTAGGTAATTATAACCCAGACTGGGTGTGAAAGTGTGCTCAATTGTCTTGGCGTAGATAAATGCATGTTTGTGCAATAACTGTATCTGTCAAAATTTCTTTATGCTCTAAGCTGGCTTTTCATTAAAGAAGGAAGTATTAATTTAAATTAAGCACTGTGAGATCTTTATCACCAAAGTAATCAGCTGCAAATAAGTCGGTTAATCAGTTTATATATATAAATATATATCTTTCACAATCAATGTTTTCCATTGAAACAATTTCCAAGAGGTTAAAATGAGACAGAAGGAAAACTTGCATGAAATACTCCACATTACATTTACTGTGCTGTTGTTTGGTTGAGCTCTACTGGAGTCTAGTTTGCAGTCATTGATGCATCTACTATGACTGTATAAAATGTGTTTAATTGGCATGAAAAGGCACTAACAGAGTGCTAGTGGGGCTTCCATTATCTGAGTGGACATCTTATTTACTTTAGTAGATATGGAGAACAAGATGAAAGTGGTGGGAAACTGATGTTTTTTTGTGTGGCTGAAAATCATGCAGGCTATAAAAATTACATTTATAATGCCACTAACCTCAAAATCCCCAAGAGAATGGTTTGCAAAATGTTTTCCTAATTATAATTTTGTAGATTTATGTTTAGCACAGTTTGCCAGTTGTGAAATTGGCAATGGTTGATAATACAATTTGATGAGTATTTCATATTCAAAAATATGCATTTTTACAACATACTTTCCTACAGTGTAATCAAAAACCTGATCTGAAAAGAATGTTGAATTTACTACCCTACAACATACAAATAGCCACCTACATGTATACATTACGCATATGCTTTAGTAATAATTCATATAGGAAACCAGTCTGCATTAAGAATTGATGTGATACTGTATATGTTGTATTACAGTCACTCTAGTGAACTATGAGATACCAGCTCCCTGCTGAGTGCATACTTGTGTCAATATTTCTGTTAATTGTTGCATTACAAATTGTTACAGATCCCAGTGGTGGGAGTTCACATTTATTCCTGCAGTGGAGTTGCCGACACCTACACACAATCCTATGAGGTTTCAATATACTGTGGGATTTGCCTTTTGAAAACATTATCACAGTTTATCAGTCCAATGTCATTCCACTTAGCACTAATAGAACAGAATCCAGGGGACTATGCAATGATGCAAGGGATTCCCCCCACTCTCCTCAAGCATTGTGTAAACACTGTGTGGTTAGACTATCAGCATGAAATAGCTAAAACAAATTAAGTGATGGAAGTTTAGTGCTCTTGTACGTTGTGGCATTGGTACACTACTGATCATATTAACTAGCATCCTGTTTATACCGTAAATGCATTTTGATAATGGTAGCATTGGCATACCAGTTATAAAGATGGCGGAAAGGGTCAGATATTCTGTTTGAGTTTCAAGAATTTATTGGATAAAACCCAAAAGTCTCATTGACTTCAGTGGGAGGAAGGTTAGCCCATGGTGATCATTGTGAAATAGGGTGACCAGATGTCCTGATTTTATAGGGACAGTCCCAATATTTGAGGCTTTGCCAATATTACCCCCGATCCCCCTGTCCCGAATTTTCACACTTGCTATCTGGTCACCCTATTGTGAAATGTCTACATATAAGTGCCTGCAAATGAATCAGAGGGTTATGGAGGGAAAAGCCTTATGGGTAAATTCCCCTGGCCAGTGCAAGGTTGTTCACTAAAGTTTACTTTCTAGTGCTTTGTAGCTAATGGCCACACACTGTGTAGTATATGGATGATAGCATGTTTCTATATTTAGACATTGGGTAACTATTACTACAGCAATATCGAGAGTAACTATTTTAAAATTTGAATTGAGATGAACATCACTTGTTTGAGCTCATTAGGGCAATGAATAATCACTCCCCATCATGACCATGACAAATCTGGCTCACATACAAACTTGCTGTCCCCAAACTGTGCTGACAATGAATTCTCAAAGGGTGAGGAGGGGGCGGGGGTGAGATGAGGGAAGGAGTGTTATCTCCTGTTAAAAAAAATCCTGGGTGGGAGTCATAAGCATGACATTGTATTTTCCATGACTTCATTTACCAGCGTGGTGAGGTTTTCTGCTCCCAACCTCTGTGCACCCCGGAGAGCAGTTTAGGTCTCCAGGGATCTGCTGGAGCCACAAGGCCATCTGAGGGAAAGCCCAGTTCTACCACTTTGCCATCAAGGCCCCTTGTCTCCACTCCAGTTCCCTTGCAGTCTGGCTTTGTAGGGAGGGGGGAGGGGTTCGTTGCCCCTGAAAACCCTCATAAATGAAGATTCCACAGCAACAAGGGGATTGTGCAAAGGGCTAATTACAGCCTGGGGCTGCATTAACCTTTTGTGTGGATTCCCCACTGGGATATGTGTGTGTGTGTGTGTGTGTGTGTGTGTGTGTAAAGCACCCATCCCCCATCCTTGCTTTGTCCTTTCTCTCCTGCCCCCTCCCCACAGGCAGATTTTAGAAACATGGAGGGCCTTCTTCAGAGTCCCAGGGTGGGTGGGTGTGAAATGGTGCCACAGAGACATCTAACTGCCCCACTGTCGCTCAGGAACAGTTCTTGTGACTGTGCAGGGGTCCCTTCCATGGTCAGAAGCTGCAGGGCAAATCCCTCTGAAAGACTGAGAGTTGGGTTGCTTATTGAAATGTGCTCTTTGTAGAGGGCAAATGCATGAGGAGGGGGTCAGGAGTAGAAAGGAGTTCAATGCTTTGTCAGAAGTGCAACAGAGATCAGGAGGAGTAGCAGTAAATAATAAATGTAATATAATATAATTAATAAAATGCTGCGCATGTACATGGTATTTTTGGTTGGATCATTCAAAAGTGCTGTTAATAAGTAGGTTGTTATCATTAGCCATATTTCAAAAATGAAGCACAGAGAAGTAAAGGGACTTGCTCAAGATCATAAAGTGAGTCAGTGGCAGAACCGGGACCAGAAACAGTCGTACTTTAGAGTAGTATTTGCCAGTCCACAGTCAAGAAGGCATGCTTAGTAACTGAACTCAGAATTACTCCCACAAGGCTTGCCACTACAGTGGCTATGCAGGCCAAATGCACACAAAAGTAAATAGTGATTTTTGCCGGAGTTTGACCTGAAGGCTTGGGCCCTAAGGGATTCAACTAACAAATCCCCGACCTCCATCCATTCACAGGGAGTAAGGCCCTGGTGAAATCATTAAAATGATATTTATTTAATTCAGGAAATCATGTTTTCTAGATCTCCCACATGGAACTTTGCATTGTCATAGGCAGTCAGGCTGCCCTGAGCAGTTTGCATTGCCTTCTGTCACAGAACTGCCATGTCCCAGCCCTAGATCTGGCAACATTACATGTCGCATCTGAAAAGTATCTGGGTATTATAGTGATAATAGTCACATAAGAATGGGCATACTGGGTCAGACCAAAGGTCCATCTAGCCCAGTATCCTGTATTCCGACAGTGGCCAATGCCAAGTGCTTCAGAGGGATACCACCAAAGCAGCCCCTTCTATAGAAATACCTTCCATAATAACTCCCTGATTTTTACTAACTCTCCAGGGTAAGGTTGCCCTTTAATAGGAATTTCTTTCCCAACCTGCTTTTCTGGGTCTGGTCCTTTAAATTTGGCAGATCCAAGCAGCTGCAGGCCTAAAGTGGCCATTTTGTTACTGGCAGTTGCTTGACTGTACCTTTGTTTCTTTCAGGTGAGTGAATGTCTGTTATATATCACCTTCTAACTCTGAGAAAAGAGATTGGAAAACAAAATAATTGCTGTAAGTAAGGCAGCAGGAGACTTGGAGTCAGGAGCTCTATCTTTTCTTCCCAGCTCTGCCATGCATTTGCTGTGTCACCTTAGCCCAGTCTCTTAACTTTTCTGCACAGAGTTTCCCTGTCTGTAATATGGGGATGATAATATTTACCCACCTCTGGGAAAGGCTTTGAGTTGCTTGGATGAAAGCTGTTATATGCTATTGTTGTTCTTCTTAAATACACAAGTATCCCTATTATCCACAGCAGACCACTACTATAGAACAATGTATGCTTTTTCTTTTAAAGGAGAGTATCCGAGCAATAAGTACTGATAATCCAGTATAAAACCATAAGATCATTGGAGAGTGATGGGATTCACTTTGGAAAAAGCAGGTAGCATAGAAGTAATGTGAACCAAATGCATTAGTATTATACTAGAAGGTCATTTACTACTAGGAAGTGTTGATGGTCTTATGGTTAAAATATGGGTCTGGGAATCGGGATACCTGGGTTCTATTTCTGTAGTACTGCAGATGTACTGTGGGGCTTTGGGCAAGTCTGTGTGCTTCAGTTTTTCCTGTTCTGTGAAATGGACACAATAATTACCTACCCCACCTGGGTGTTGTAAGGTTTAATTCATGGAAGACTGATCCTGTAAGACTTGATTTCAGTGAGGGCTGGGGCCCTCAGAACTACTTCAGATGAGGTCTGGGCTGTAATGGGCTTTGAGATCCTCTGAGGGAAGCTGCTATACAAATATGATGTATAATAGAAGCTGATTCCTTCAGGTCAGTTTAGAGGCATGCTGAAGGGAAAACACAGCGTGTGCTCCCACTATAGCTCTTTTTTGGAAATGAGAACATCTGAAGCAAATTCCTCAGCTTACTGTACTTTAAGAAATAGTGATCTAAAGACTCAGACATTTTCTATTAAAGTTTTAAAAACATAGCTTTAAGTCATATATTACACAGAACACTTTCATATCTCATCTGATTCAGTAGGTTTTAAACCCCACAGAGGTCACATTTTGAAACACTACTCACTTTTTACAGCATCTCCAAACATTAAATAAAAATAAAAATTATTAGGAGGAATAGAGTCATCCACAGAGGCTAATAATGTGTCACTTCGATATTATTAACAATACTATTATTTCTGGTTCATATTAAGCAGCTCACGATTGCTAATAGCTATACACTAGAAAAAGTAACCTTTAATTTTGATCCATCTATGTTACAACTATATTGGTGTCAGGGGACCCAGCTACAACTCAGTTGTCCTGGACCCAGTTACAACACCCATAACATGAACAGTGTCCCAGCATCTAAACTAAGGTCTGGAACTGTCCGATTCAGTTATGTGACCTGATTACAGTAGGGTTAAGATGCATCCCCACTACAGATTTGAAGTGTTTTGTAACCAGTTCAAGATCAGCCTTGTTGCGATCAGGATCTCTGATCGGATACTTTAGATGTAATGTAAATTGGGCCTATGTTCTTATTATAATTGGTGATGGGGAGGAAACAAACCCCCACCACTTATCTTTATAAATGGCTGAAATAACAGCTTGGATCTGAACACCGCCCACACTTAGGAGTGCCCCAAATCAGAATGTCCATGTTTGTTCTCACTTGAGTCCAATTCTCATTATGTTTCATTTAAAAAAAAACACCCTAATTTTACTAATTACAAAAACAAATCTTGTTGAGTTACAAATGCACTGGGATCTTCTGTCAAATACAAATTCAGGCAAGTAATATGCAGGCTGCTTGTCTTTAAATATTAACATGTAGTTAATTAATTAATTAATTAAAACAGCAAACTGTTGAACTGGTCAGGTTTTCTAATCTCCAAGGCTGAGTAACTGAAGGCAGCCCTGACTTTTTTCTCCGTTGCGAGTTGCAGGTCATATTTAGTGTTGATGATTTGTAATTTATCCAACAGGTATAGGCACATTTCCCTCAGGTAACATTTGTAAACAGAAATAAAGCTGGTGGTTTATTGTTTGCCTCAGAAACTCTGCAAACTCTGTGTCATAGAGTAGGCAGTGATGTGTAACCATGACCAGTCATAAAAAGAAACCACAATTGGTTTTTTTTTTAAGGTACAGCTCTAAAAGCATACTATGTGGATTTCCATGGTGTAGCAGCTGGGCCAGAAATGGCTTTTTTCCCCTGCTAAGAACTAGTTATCTGATTCTCTTTTGTCCCTTATTCCAATGTTCAGTTGCATTTTAGTGTTCAGAGCTATAAGGATGCATTGAAACTTATGGAGCCTGTCATTTTAACTATCTCATCTTAGCATGATTCATCTCAATTTACTTTCTTCAAAAATGTAGTCTAGAAGAATATGAGCCATCTCTTTGGGCTCGCTAGACGGCTGCATGAAAGGAAGACAATGCCAGCCAACTTGTAAGAAAGGTTCACTTGTCATGGGGCCGATCCTGCAAAGTAATTAGTGCTTCCTGGGAGCTGCTGAGTAGACTCAACTCTGGTAGAGGTCTATGGGACCGTCATCAGACCCGATCTCTTCCTTATTGTGCTTCTAGCTAGATAATAAACGCTAGCAAAAGAACACGTAACAAGTTAGTAGTGTCAAATGTTCAGTAATGTGAAGATTAAAAGAACCTCAGGTAAATGTGGTGGGTTCGTAAGAGCTAGTAAGATCATTAGCCTGGGATCACACTAGCTTCTGTTCAGAAAACTGATGATTTTTGCACTGTGGCCTCCAACCCACAAGCACGCTAGGGCAGATCCTCAGCTGGCGTAACTTGCCAGTGACTTGAGTTATTACGTGTTTCCTGATTTTAAATAGAGCTATGACAATTTATGCCAGCTGAAGATCTTCCACTTTTTGCACAGCCCCTATGATAGCCCCAGGGAGTATCACACACTGACCCCTGGTAGACTGGACCCTTTATGATGTGTTACAGTCACGATGCAAAATGCTTTAGCTGTAGCAATCTGAACTAAGGCACTGTAAATTGTTACAGGAACACATTTTACTGTTTTGACTTGATTTCAACAGAATTCAGATTCACCCGAACTTTAACAGCTGGGTAATGAACACGAACTTTAAATATAATTCACTGTGGGTCCTTCTGCCCTGTTAGCATAATGAAGAGTCGAAACACAAGCAAATATCATTAGTGTTGCAATATATGAATGGGAAGCTATGAATGTGTTCAGAAGACATAGAACTTTCTCCTTCAAGAGTTCAGTGACACTTAGTCTGTCCTGTTCTCCCTCCGCACTTGTAGTCACTGATACAGTGAAACAATAAAATATCACAAGACCTGACCCTTTGGCCTTTATGAATTATCTGTTTTAGAAAGATGTGAAAACTACCTTTTATATCCAACATAATAGATATTTAGACATTGTGGATCAATAGTGAACAAGTTTGCTGGTTATAGTTAATGGGTGCCAAAGGGGCATTCTGACATTGACCTCTGACACCTTTCTTGACAAGAAATCTATAGAGGGAAAAAAATAGGAAAGACTGCCAGTTTTTAAAGTTATGAACATAGATCTACAGCAAATAATGGTAATTTTCATGGAGCAGAAATTTTTCACACTTTCTGTTTCAGATGAATTTCTCCAAAATCCTTAATTCTGACCAATGTAAAATTAATAACTGGCCCGTGGTGAACATCTGAAAACAACTGCTTTGCTATATGACACATTTTTCCATTTGTCACCCATATGATATTGTTCCTGCTGTCAAAGAAGACTTTTCCCTTTATAAAATGGGTTGTCATTTATAATTCCAAACAGGCACCGTTTTTTAAACAGACATATCATAGTGGATCTGTATAAGAAGAAATGCAAGCTCCTGGTCCTTGAAAAGAAACTAATCTAAACAGATTTTTAAAAGAAATTAAGCTTCTAAAAATGGAATGTTTAGGATTTTCTACAAAACTTGTTGCTAAGACTATATACTGCCAGTGAAGTATTCAACTAAATAGTTTATCTAGTCTATTGAATATACTAGTCAGCTTCTTATGTAATTAGTTGATGTAATGAAAGAGTATTAATAAAGATGGCAATGGCTACTGATATAAAAGTATACTGCTGTATCATATACTTCATGGTACATGGTAAAGAAGGTTAGATTCACCAGTCATTGTTTAACTGAATCAAATAAATAGCGCTAATTTCTAACAATCTGTCCTAGATGGTAGCACAATTCAGTATTCATCCTGGTAATGAAATTAGCTTTGTCATGTCGAGCCAAAGTGAAATCTCTGTGAAAGGGTGGGTGAAATTTCTTTCAAAGAATATACCCAACAATGTACATACTGTATTATTATGTCACACTTCAGTAGCACTGAACTGAAGTCTCAGTGGTCTTCCTGCTGTTAAGCACCATTGAAAACACATTTGTCCTGACTGTTCTTTTCTTTTAACCCCCCTCTCATCTTGTGCAAGATGAATCGCTGCTGGATCCAGACTGACTCTGAGGGCAACGCCAGGTCTTGAGGAGGTAACCTGCCTCCTATGGCTTAAACATTTTAATTAATTTTAACACTAATGCACAAATGAGAGTTAATCACTCTGCTGCCGTGCTTTCTAATTTACCAAGTTTATTCATTAAAACTTTCCTCACTGAACTTTGATTGAATGTCATGCTTTTTTAGAAGGCCTCTCAAACAGCCCTCGGGCTTTTTAAACTGATATCTCAGGCAACTGCTGAACGTCTCTTTAGAATTTGCTTTGCAGGCAAGAATGTGAAAGTTTGGTGGGTGAGGAATACTGAGAAAAAACAAACCAGAAACCAACCTTCTTGAAAGCAATAAGGCAATACAGGCCCTTAAAAAACACTATAGTAAAAGTAGAAGTTACTAAAACTTTCTGATAGAGGAATTTACTTCACTTTTACAAATTCTTGACCAAAACAAATTCAGAAGCAGTACATTATATATATATAAATATATATAATACAACTCATATAATCATGTTTTTTTAGTTAGTATAGCAATATAAAATATAATAAATACAACTAATGATTTTACTAGGGTATTTTAATACTATAAAAGCTATATTGTTATATTATATTGCTGTACTATCTAATGAAAAAGCAAGGTGATAATATTATTTGTATTAGGTAATATATTTACAATGTGTTTGCTAATCTAATTATTTTTGTATCAATATAATCAAACCTTAGGTACACAGTTTGGTCTATTAATTGCCATAACGAAAATCAGAAATGTATTGTGTAAATGGGGTTTTTTAAATTTCAAATTAACTCAACCAAAATGTAATCTTTACCTTTTAATTAACTATATTCAATATTAGGTAACAAAATACCTCATATTTCAGTTTCTTAATGAAGGCTGCAGTCAGAAAGGCTGACATTCATTCATACATTTAATTGGGGTTTTTTTTTTGTCATTTACATTACCTGGATCTACCAGTATACTAAGAAATGACAGGTTCCATGCACACAGTTTTGGGGGAAATTGACTAAATTATTACATCCATAATATAGATGGACAAATACTTCCAACAGTTGTATAAAGGTAAAACTTGATATCTGGCACTTCTGTATGGCTAAATGTTATACACATTTATTCCTTTCCTCCATTTCCCCATAGGCACACCATGCTCTAATTACTGTGTGGGCTGCTTTGGATGATTCTCCATGACCCTTTTCGTATGGCAATATAGAATTCACTCTGTCCACACTAGGAATTTGCACTCCTATAACTGTGCCAGTACCCAACCAAGCCTATAGCTGCTGGCATCTGCTGAAATGGCTGCAGACTTCACAGAGCCAGTATTGAGGAACTGGTCAATAGAACCCCAAACCAGGCTTTATCCCAGATTGAAAAAGATCATAAAAATCTGGGTCTTCTAAAACAGATTGGGGTCGGAATTATCTCAAGAATTTTGTCAGACAGAAATTGCACCAGTTCCAGTACATTGTTAGATGCTGGCATTTCAGCTCTAGCTTTGACTCTTGGATCTGCCCTACACTCACATACCCTGAGAAGTGTGGCTGACTTTGTCAGAACACACATTTATAGTTAGTTGAGTCCAGCAGCCTCATTTCCTTTCAGAACTTGTTTTAACTGTACATTATGTTCTTTCTCTGACCTCCTGTCACCCATAAAAACGTCCAGTCCTGCCAAGAATTGCACAATCTTCTTCATATTCCTTTGAAAAAAATTTGGGATGCTTGTAATACCAAATGGAAAGCAATATCTTCCAATTAGCATTGGAAACATTGTCAGCTTGGCTTCAGCAGGATGGACTGGAACTTGCTACCAACCACTAGCTGCAGCTATTGATGAGGACATGGTTGCATCAGTTAGCTTGGAGATTATATCTTCCATATTGGAGAGGCTATACCTTTTCTTCCTCCTCCCCCCCCCCCCCATAATAGGCACTATGGTGTGAACAACTCTGTCCATCCACTATTATGTTCTATTACACTTTTCCTCTACACTCTTCCCTTATTTTGGATTTGAACTTCTGGGCTCAGCTATGTTGGGTGTGTAGGATATGGTCCCTTCTTTCATTACAATCTGAGCTATTTCTCCTTTAAGCAGGCCTTTTTCACTGAACGCTGTCCCAACTTCCTCTCTGCATTCTATAAGACCCATATTAATGGCTGTGGGTAAGTCAAGGAAGCTACTTATGATGGCTTCATTAATGACAAAGGTGACACAAGTGATACACCTTGCCTTTGTAGCTAGTATGGGCTTTGGAATTACTCAGGTAATGAAAGTGTCCAAACTAAGGCGATGGCTAAACCCCTTAAAATTCTCATTACAAATCAGCAACCTCTGTCCCGGAATCAGTTTTAAATTTAGCAACATTGCAAATCTTAAGTTTGACAGTCCCACCTTATTCATGAATTGGCTTTAAGACACAAATCCCAGGAAATAGGCATCACTCATATTTGACCAATGTTGTCTCATTGTTTCCTAGTACTCCCTCATCTGTCTGTAACCATCTGTTGTCTTTTGTCTTATATTTAGGTTGCAAGCTCTTTTTGTTCTGTGTCTCTACAGCACCTAGCATATTGATGTCTTGGTCCATGACTAGGACTCATAAGTGATATAGTAATAAATAATAATAATAATAAATAAATCTCCCAATTCCTTTGCTTCAGCAGACATGTTTCCAAATACCATATTCTTAAATTCCCTGCACAACTTCCGCTGACTGAGCAGACTTTGTTCTGTGTTCTTCTCTGCCATACCTACATTTCTGCCCAATGAATTCAGTGCTCTTAAGAGTCACTTTTCATGGAGTTTCTCTTGCACATGGGGATTTCTTTCTTTGATATTTCCACTACTTTCTTACTGGGTGACTTGAATTCTCACTTGCCCAGAATGCCTTGACAGGGGCACTGCCTGTTCCAGACTAGGGTGACCAGACACCAAATGTGAAAAATCAGGACAGGGGTAATAGGAGTCTATATAAGAAAAAGATCCAAAAATTGGGACTGTCCCTATAAAATCAGGACATCTAGTCAGCCTACCTCAGACATTAACTGTGATTTTACTGGGAGTTCCTTGTTTAAAATTCTAATTGCTAAATGATCTCTTGTGTCCTTCCTTAATGACACCAAAGTCACACTGCTCTGCTTATTCATATGGTGCCCTTTTAAAGGCTTTCTGGGCCTCTGCTCCCTTTTGTAAAAGCACATTAGTCTATACTTTCCTTTTGGAATGAAATGTCCATCAAACATTTTAAGAATGAGCACACAGTGATTCTAATCACCTTCGTGGGGAAATTATTTATCAATATTTTCAGCTTCGCTCCGCATGGTGTAAATTAATGGGTTGACCCCTATGTCGCTGTGTTGCATTTTGAATTCTGGTGAAGTGATGGTCCTGTTCAGGACCAGTCCCGTCTTGTGGAGGGTTGAATTTTTACATTTTCTTTTTTCCTCTTAGTTTTGGTGTGTCCAGATGAGTCAATTTCTGGCTCCATGACACAGGACAATGGTAAGACTCACCTGAAGAGTTGCTTTCTTCTAACACTGAACAAGGAACTTAATTAGAATAAGGAATACAATGTTATCCCTTGAGCTACTCTGTCTGTCTCTCAGCCTTTCTGTTAGCTTCTACCTAAACCCTTTCCCAGACTCTCTCCCATTGCCTTCCTGTTACAGATTTAAAGACGTACATATAATCTCACAGTAACTAGTAATGAATAGTTAAAGGTACAGTCAAAGTGAATAGTTAGTGAATTACTTTTAGGCTCAAATATGTCTACATGGAGTATCCCTGAATTAATTTTAAATGTCAAACATTTGTAAAAAAAACCAGTCTGTTGTCGGAGAATTCCCCCCAAAAAACAAACAAAAAAAGGATTCCATTCTTCAGATACATTATTAGTTATGAATAGCTCACCCAGCTCTAGTCATTACCTAGCGATGAAAAATTGACACTAGTTATTAGGATAACACACTTAATTTAATTAATACAAATATTAAGATTCACCATTAACCTGCATTTGCTCAGCATGCCAGAGGGGTGATGAGTCAGAATGGTACAAAAGGTTTTACAGTACTTGCTGCTCCTATAAGAACTACCTTTAACCAGTTAGGATTTTCCAGAATGTCAGGAATTAAGGCAATCTTTAATTTATACATATACCCAAGCAGTGGTTCTTAAACTGTGGTCTATGGAGCACTTCCTGTTGATCGCAAAGGTGAAACATTTGTCACTCTTCAAGCAGAGATGATTTCTGCTCCTTTTAGTGCTGTGCAGATCTCTTTTAGGGATGTTCAGAGATAATTTTGACCATCTCTGGCTGCTTCACATCTTTCTCTGTCAGGGGTTTCTTCTTTGTAAATTCAGCCATGATCAAATGTGCAAATGGCAACAAAATCATAGAGGTAGCAAATACCCAGGAGGAGAGAAACAAACTGCCCGCTAGAGGATAGAGCAGTGAGAGGATATTCATTATTAATCTATGTAAAATCCTACACTCAGGGGAAGGAAATAAACAGCACAGATACCAAAATCTGTTGATGTACTAAACAGTCCTCCCCAGTGTATTAAAGTGAATTTATTTCAGTTTTGTTGCTGTAATATTGTCCTGTTCCAGACAATTGAGAACTCCAGTTGCCGCAGTGGAATTGGAATTGGGAAGTTTGGATAGGAAGCCTTACAACGTGGTCCACACACTCAACGAGTGTGAGAACTACTGTAGCGACAAATCAAAAGGAAGCATTTAGATTTGGGAATGAATAAATATTTCATTTTGATTGCAGAAAATTTCCAAATCATATTTTTTCACAACTTTCCATCACACTAAAGGGGTTTTTTGTTTTTTTTTTGCCCTGATTCAGGATGGAAATAAATATCAGAATTTCCCATAGGATGAAAATTCCATTTGTGATCAACTCTACCTAAGTTGTCTGAGCACAGACCTGGGACCTAGGAACTTCTGAATTCTATTTCTGGCTCTAACATTGACATAGTGGCATTGGACAAGACAGCTCTGTGCCTCGCTCTCTAGTTTCCTGTTGTTGTAGTTGCTTTGAATACAAATTAATATGTTTATAAAGCAATCTATAAGGGCTAAGTGTTATATAGATACTAATGTGGAATGAAACAGATCACTTGGGGCCAAATTCAACAATGATATATCTGACGTCAATAACCTAGATGCCCCAACAAAAGCTTATATTGTATTGCTTCATTGCTGCAGAAGTTGCCTGTATTTTTTTTCCCCTGAGGCAAACCTCGAGGTATCAGAACAAAAGTGATAATATACCATCAACACACGAAACGACTTTCAATTGTTTCTTTGTCCGATTTTTGCTAATATTTAATTAGAAGGGGATGGATCTGAACCGAACCTCTAGATTCTAACTTTTAATCCCCTTCTTTCAAAACCCAACCCCAGATCTAGATCTAAATTTTACAGCGTGAGCCCACCTCTAGTAACTAGTGCTAAAAGGACGATGAAATGAATGGAAACCTGTTTGGATCCCTATTTCACTCTCCCGCCACCCCCCACAACACCACATACATTCACACACACTCCTGAAGGGATGAGAAATTAACAAGAAAGCAACCTGAGAACAAACAAAAAATGATTTTTTTCCCCTTAAGGATAAACTGCAAACAGGAGCCTATATTGCAGTAGGGTATAGTGCTGCTTTTCTTCCACAGAGTAATGCATGGTTTCTCTTCTGCTGACTTTGTTTTTTGGATTGCCAACTCTTTGGAATAAGAGTCATATGTACCCAGAGGAAAAACAATTAATGTACGTACACACACACACACACACACACACACACACACACACACACACACACACACACACACACACACACACACACACACACTTTCTCTCTGTCTCCGAGAGAAGTGCAGTTTCTCTGCACACATGTACCAGCAGAGGCTGCTACACACCTCATTAAAAATATATAGCAACTAATAATTTAATTGACTGGGAGAAGTCAAAGGGGAAGTTAAATTCTGGGCATTCCCGAGAGGCGAGGAATCTGCCAGTTTATGTAGGCTAGAGCATGTTTTTAAACTCACTGCTACCACAAGCCCCTTTCTAGAGAACACTGTAAACCCAACAGGGTTGGGAGAGCTGGCCAAGGCAGCAGTCCCGTCTCACAGTTCAGTCATGCAAGGTGGAGCTATTTTTTAATTGCAGTGGAAAACTATTGGTTTTGTAAGCAGACGGTTGATTGTGTAATGGAAGGTTTGCAAATCTTTCAAGAAAACCTGCACCCAGTTCCAAGCCTACTTTACACATTTGTGCAGCTCTGCATTTATAATAGCATATGATCCTTAGCTCACTCAGCCAAAGTGGGGGATGGGGAAGGAGAGGGGAGATGAGGTATCTTCCCCGTGAGAGCTCTCTTCTGAGTCTCAAAAGCCTGCCAGTCTCTCCACACCACACCAACACTTCCTTCCTAAGTCTTTTTACTTTGGGGGCTAATTGGTTAATTAGCCTCATAGCTCTCTCCAGCCCATCCCCAGTCTCTCTTAGGCATAGCTTTGCACCTCAGGTTTACTCCGCGGGAATTTAATTGGTGATCCAGTGATCAGAGTGCTGGTACAGCTGCTGTTGGCCACACTGTCACATGTCCCTGGGTGAATTAGCAGGTTGAAACTCAGTGGCTTTGACAGAGTTTCACTCTGAGCTATTTTTAGATTCATTCAAAAAAACAAAGTCAGGGGTCCAAACCCATCTGAATGGAAACACAACTAGAACTGCCAAATTTTACAGACCTCAAAGGAAGAGGGAAACATCCCATCTAGGGAGACACCCAAGTTCCAACATTTGGATCAACATCTTGATTTTGCCACCTGCAACTGCAGGGGTTTGAATCAGGATTGTGGTTTGGACCTATCTCTACTCCACACAAGGAACAGGGGGAATACGGCCCTATTCGTCTCCTTGAATGTACCTTGAGAGGATGTCACTGTTTACAAGCATCTTTGTTTCCAAAAGTTCTTCCTTTTTCACTATTGTTGATCAGAAACCATGTCTTTTCATCTTGTCATGTCTCAAGGGTTGACACATCAGGTTGTGATGAGAAACATCTGCTTATATAATTTATGTTTCATTAGACCAATCAACATGTCACCAAGTGGCTGCATCAAATGGGCAAAAAATGTTATGGCTAGACACATTCAGCTAGGAAAAAAGGGAAGATAGGCAGCTAGTTCACTCAGAACTGGACAGGATGGAAGAAAAAGACTGATTTTACATTTTCTCTTAAAACACACTTGTACAGAAAGAGAGGTTGCCTCAGGGACTGAAAAGCCGAAGACTGTGTCTTCAGTAGGAAAAAAGGTGTGTTCTTAACGCAAGTTAGCTAACTTGAGGTAACTAACTCGAGGTAAAATTCTGCTGAGATCAAAGAAATTTGTACTGTCCAAACAAGTTAAGATGGCAAGTTAAAGACTATACTCCCTGATAGTCTTTAAATCAACCTGCTAATTTGTGTGAAAACTACAAACTGCCTTGTTTTCCTTGATTTTACCTCAGGTTAGCTAACTTGAGTTAAGAACACATATTTTTTCCCCTACTGAAGACAAGGACAGAGAGAAAGAGAGCGAGATGTTGCGTAGTGGTATGAATACAGGACTGGAAAACAGGAAGCGCTAATCTCCTAAACATTAATCCTGCATCTGACACAGGCTCCCTCTGTTTTCTTGGGACAAACATTTCCAACATGGGTATTCAACACCTTTGAAAATCAAGCTACTGCTATAAATATAGACAGTGAGATTTTCAAAGGAGTCCAAAGGATTAAAAATTAATACATTAAAATGCATAGGATATATGTGTTTAAATCATATAGATTGCTTTGAAAAATCTCTATCCAGGGGCTTCTCTTTAGGCTTCTAAGTTTGAAAGAGCTGGCCTTAATCTCAGTTTTGCCATCTATGAAATGGAGATAACACTTTCCTCAAAGGGGAACTGCAAACAGTGGTGCTGGAACTAAGGGGTGCTGCTGCACGCTCTGGCTTGAAGTAGTAATAATAAACACCAAAGACATGGTTTCCGCCATCCGCATCCCCACTATAAAAATTGTTCCAGCACCCCGGACTGCAAACATTATTTAAGATTTAATGTTTGCATAGCACCTTGAAGATGAAAAGTGCTAAGTAGATTATTAACTTTACAAATACTTTAAAACTTTGTTCCATTTTTAAAAAAACGGACAGAGCATGAAAAATTTAAAAAAGAATGTTAATTCCCCCAAATGTCCTGGGTAATTGATTAGAATTTCTAGCAAGTGCCAGGTATTTAGGATAAAAAAATGTCTCCTGACTTCAGCATTAACATCCAAAAATTCTCATTAGTTTCTCCAATGTATTCAAATATAATTTCCACCCCGAAGTTTTTAGGTGATGAGAGAGATTAAAAATGAAACCATAACAGTCTGCACAGTATTTTACATTCACTGACCTTTTGTGTAATTTGATATGTTCCTTTGGATGTCTATTCTGAGTGTGCTGGG